AAGGACCAAAAAAATCACAGTGCCTATCCAATTTTTAAATATGCAACACAAAGAAAAATTACTGGACTTAGGCGTTATTCTTTTCATGTTCCCAGCAATGAAAAGCATGCTGAGAAAAGTAATTATACAAAAATTACAAAACAGCAGAAATCAGAGAGTGCCACATTTTTTCCATTTCATTGTCCTATTTGAGTGTGGAGCTGGCTGAAAACTTTAAGAAGAAAGCTTATGGTTTCAGACTGCTATTTTATTGCACACAAAGTGCAGTTTGATTAATAACTGCAATATTAGATTTAGGAAACAATGCTCCAAACTGATAAATTACCCATCTATCCCCCATATTTTCAAAGCATTTTGCAATACCAGGACTTTCTCAAAACAGCCTTTATGAACAGAATTGATGCACCTTTTTCTCAGTCAGCCATGCATTATCAAAACTCAGCTATAACAGTGAAAGCTAAAATAAAAACACATATTGCCACAAGAAAAGAAATTCGGGATGACTTTCTTTTTGTAAATTGAAGCTCACAGATGAATACCCAAACCTTTTCACAATCCTGGGCTCCCTAAAAATGCTAAGGGTTGTTTCTACAGCTCCACCATCAAGATCAGACAGTTTAAGTATTTTCCCTGTATAAACACTTGTCTGCTTACAAGCCTATTGGTGAGCTGCTTGAACTGTATTGATTCATGGTCTCTTCTGAATTGTGAACAGGCTACAAATGGCATAAAAACAAAGTCATTTCTAGCTTTAGAAATGCAGAAAACGTGTTCAAAACCCCAAACAATTTCTACCACAGATTGTATAACACTCCTGCTTAGCTGAAAATGTCCATCCACATGTGAACTTTATAGGAGCCATTTTTATATTCTCACAGTTGGAAAAGACAGCAAGAGGAAAAGCAGGAAAAAAGAGCAATTTAGAGAATGGTTTAGGATACATAAATATTTCAGCTGTGTCGTGCACTGCTGTTCTGGGGGAGGGGGACCCAAGGTTCAAACTCTATTTTTCTGTGGGAGAAAATGATTGCTCTTTAAAAGGATTTTTGAACCCTGGGTCCCCAGGTGTCCACCATCCTTTAGCTGAAGTGACATTTTCGTGGCAGATGGTACAAATAGCCTGGCACGCTTTGGAGCTGTTGGATCACTACAAAAACAAATCTGCCAGATGGCTGGCATGTTCCTTGGCAGGAGCAGAGGGCCCCTGACGGACGGGGTAGCAAAGCTGCCCAAAATGCAGCAACAGCATCTCAACGTTCTGTGAAGCCCTTTTTGGTGCAGCTCTGGGCTGGGCTGGGCTCCTGCTGTCGAGGAAGGAGAGCTCCTGGCTGTGTGTGTGCCAGGGCTGATGCTCTGCCTCTCCTGACACTGACACTGTTCCTACCACTGCCCCTGCCCCGAGCCCCCAGCACAGAGCTGGGCCCCCAGCCCAAGGGGATGTGCCATGTCCCCTGTCCCATCCAGCAGGACACTGCTGCAAACCCCTTGGGCAGCTCCTGGCCCTGCCTCTGCTCCTCCCGGCCCTTCCCCACAGGGAACAAACACATCCAGACAAATGGGCTCCTCCCTTCTCCCACCACAGCTGCACGGTGCTCCAGTGCTCCCCAGCTGTTTGTGCTGGATGGAGGAGAGCCTGGAACATGCCCTGTGCACAGGAATTCCCAAAGTGCGGCTGCAGCAATGATCTGTTTGCTAGAGGGACTTCTCCCCCCTGCCTCAGGTTCCCCATCAGGAGGAAAAGCTTGAGAGAAACCCCTTCATGTGTGCCCAGCTCCTGTGAGCCAGAGTGTGCTGGGAGGTGGCACTGAGCAATGCTCAGTCTCAGCCTCTGTGAGTGTCCCACACCAGTGTGTGCTGGGAGGTGGCACTGAGCAATGCTCAGCCCCTGTGACTGTCCCACACCAGAGTGTGCTGGGAGGTGGCACTGAGCAATCCTCAGTCTCAGCTCCTGGGAAGGTGGCACTGAGCAATGCTCAGCTCCTGTGAGTGTCCCACACCAGTGTGTGCTAAAAGGTGGCACTGAGCAGTGCTCAGCTCCTGGGAAGGTGGCACTGAACAATGCTTAGTCTCACTGACCTGGCCAGAGCTGTCCAAGAGCTCCCTGCAATCCCCACGTTCTGATTGCCTGCTGACCTTAATGACACCCCTGACACTTCTCAAAGGCAGTCAAGGGTTGAACACGTTCCTTCAGGAACATTCTGCTCGTCTGCAGCCCCATCTTACCTTCAATCAACTCGTTTATTTGTTTAAGCCAGTGGATGACCACTAATCTGCAGAATTCAAAATAAATGCTATCATTCTCCGGTGAGGACCAGCAAGATAAGGGAATGTCAGCGAGCAGGAATGCGGGCCAGGCTGACACAGACACAACCCAGAGTGATCAAACACAAACAGTTCAGCCCTCAGCAGGGCACCAGGCAGTGCCAGGCTCACAGCTGAGCACCACATGCCTGGGGCTTTCCAAGGTGGTCATTCAATCCAAAATAAACTCGTTATCACCGCACCTCTGAAGGCGCTGAGCTGAGCTCAGCAGCAGCATTCTGTGTGTCCCTCTTTCACAACCAGCCTGGCTGCAGTGCCTTAGGGCTCCTGCTGAAACCAGTGCAAAATCTGGAGTGCTGCGCAGCCACGTTTGTAATCCCAGCTCAGTTTTAACTAATTCACAGCATTCAAAGCTCTCCCCATCCTGGTGTAGAGCCCGCAGACATCACAGTCAAGGTTCATTTTGTCACGTTTAAATTAATATCCCAGAATTTCGAATTTTCCTTTGTGACTAGTCTCTTTCAATTCCTTTCTCTGAATATTGGAATAAAAATGATTTTTCATCTCAGCAGATTTCAGCCTTTTGGAGATTATCTCCAGATGGCAAACAATAGAACAGCAACTGAATTAACCTAACCTGTTCTGAGCAAAGATCAAGAAGGAAAATGGAGAACTCACAGCTTGTTCTCAAGAACTTTCTGGCATTTCTGTGCTCCCCAGAAATTACACCCACCTGACAGCCTGTGCCACACATGTCTGACAGTTCATCAGACCCCTCATCTCAGCATTTCCAGTGTTCAAGAGACAGCAGCAGCAAATGCAAGACGCCCTGCAGTTTCGTTCCTATGAATGTCTCAGTGGAATAAAATGGAATCTACATGGGACACCGTAATTCCTCCCCAAGGCAGGAGCATAAATTAATAACAGTTCTTCAGTGCTAAGGAATATGAGAACACAGCTGTCAGTATCCCCCTTTTTAGCTTTTTAATTGTTTTCTGTGCAGCTGCCTGCGTTTCTGCCGGGGCTGGCAGAACTGTGCCCCCTGGTTTTGCTGCATGGAAGGCTCTGCTCCCCTGAGAGCTGATTTACCTGTGCCCTGGGGAGAAAGGGAATGGCACTTTCCACAGGAGAAGGGAAGTGTGAAACACCCAGAGAGTTCCCATGAAAAGTTAATTCCCCCCTTTTTTTTTTGGTACCAAAATACAGCTTTTGATGAAAAAATCTACAGTTTTCAGGCAGTTCATGTCCAATAACTTATTTCCAATTTTTATGAAAAGCAGAGCCTTTTGGGTAAGAATCTAATTTTTTCCAGAATCCAGAGAAAAACATTCTGTCAAAAACAGTGTTCATACAAAAAACCGTGATCCATTTCAAATTGTCTGGCCACAGATGTATTGTAGCTGTGTAAACAGAGCTGTTCAAATGTGGCAATTGCATACTCCCACCCTCCTTCACTTGCTTCATATTATCTGTGCACTTCATTTATGAGAAGAAGATTAAAATACACAAAAGTTCAAGATCAGATCTGACATCACTGCAGCAATGTCTTGGAGCATTTGTTCCAAGGGGAGATTTAAAGGGGCCCTTTGAACCTTGGCTCACGAATTCCTGAGCATGGTGAGCAAACACAAGGATGTGCTCAAAACCCACAGCATTTTAGCATTTGCTTAAGAGGGTTCCAAGGACACCTGGGAGAAGCTTCCAATTGTCAGGTTGGTTCAGCAGGGTTTACTTAGCAGGCGTTTTGGGAATTTGTGGCTGCTCAAAAGGCAGAATTCTGTCTTGCCTGACTCTCATCTTCGTGCCAATCACACAATGAAGGTAACAGTTCTTTTCACTAGTTAGAAACATTAGTACCAGAAGAAAACCCTAAATGGTCCATTTAAAGGAAATGTCTTGGACAAAGGCTTGGGATGAGATTTTCCTTTTATCATAAAGGGGAAAACAAAGCTGTGTAAAAATATTCTGGTGGATGTAAATGCATCAGACCAAAAACTAAAGGAGAGAGAAAATATTGAAAATGGAGCTATTACAGGACTGTGAGGCACTGGAAGGTCCATTCACATCCAGCCTGTCCCAGTTATGTGTTTCAGACCTCTTCGGGAAAACCTCATTCCAAAGAATTCTGTATGAAATATCTTTGATCTCTTATTACTAATATCACATGACACTAAAACTTATGGCAGCATCCCATTAATCATCACAATCCTAAATCTGTTTAGTTGAAAGCTGGGCCCTTCAGAACTATTCCCAATGGAGAACCAACCAATCTTTCAGTGGCATTTAATTGGTGCTGTCCTGTTTAATCCTGGCTAATTCCCTGAATGCTGCTCCTTAAAACAGGGTTAATAATAGCACATTTCTCCCAAGGCATTTCTGCCTTACAAGATGGGAGGTCTTGAGGCAAAGCTGCATTTTATTATCAGCCTGAAGAGTTCCTAGAAAAACTGTACTTGGAAACCAGATGGGGCCATTAGGTGCTTTACAAGCAATAAAGATAATAATGGCTAGATAAAAACGGGATGACCTGAGGAAGCCAGCCCCCCTTCAAGTGGACAGACTGACACAAAAGACTGAGGTATGAATTAAACTCTCTGGACAACACAACAGAAACAAGAAATAAATACAAGCGGGGTATAAGTGCCCCCAGTTTCAGTCACTCAGGCGATGAGAGGGTGTAACTGATGCATTTATGGTTCATTTCTACCAGACAGAGTCCCCGCCCTGCTGAGCCTCACCTGCAGGGGCACCACTTGCATCAGGATGGCGAAGTTGGTGAGGTGGTTGCAGAGGCACACGGAGTAGTTGAGGTCCCCACTCTGCCTCACGCAGCCCTCGTCGGACCAGACCCCGGTTCCGTTGCTGGGGGCACAGAAACCAAACGTTATCCCTGCCAAAATGCACCTGCTGGAGGTTAACTCCACGTGCTCTGTGCTACACAGGACACGGAAAGATCTGGAGACATCTCAGGCTGCAGACCCCCCAACACTGTGAGTGTCCCCTCAGTTCCACCATGGAAACAGCAAAGGAAAATATTCACAGCACAAGGCACAGATCAGAGCCCTCCATGAATGTCTAACTACAGCACACAGGGAATAAACCCATCCTGGCTCATCTGCAAGGACAGATTTCATTTCTGGGTTTGTATCCTCACAAAGCCTCCAGGGCCCCAGCCCCAGTGGAGAGCAATGCCCCAGCCACGTTCATTTGCTTCATAAAACCTGCTTCTAATTTATCCTAATTTGTGAGTAACCATAACAACGAGGAACTGCCAACAGCTGGGGCAGCTCAGCACAGGTGAGCAGAACTTCAGTGAAACAATTGCTGTGACCTTCCCAAGTGCACGGTGCTCAGGAGGGATCACAGCATCCCACACCATTGCTGCATCAATTAGGCTTGCACTCAAAACCTGTTAATCCCCATGAAATTAAAAATTCACCATTTGTATTCCTTCTCAATGAGTTCACTAAGAGCAGCGTATTTCAAAAGGAAAAAAAAAATTAAATTTATTCAGTGCTAAAAAAAAAAAAAATAAAAAGCTACTGCTTTTCCATAGCTCTTATTTTCTGTGTGAAATTTGAGGTGATATTTATTTCCCTTTAGTTCTAATTTGCATTCAAGATGGGCCATTGCGTGATGTTTATCCATTCCACGCATTGGCCAGAACTCCCAGCTCTGAAATACTGATTTCACAGGCTGCTGTGGCACAGGGCCAGCGAAAGCAGAGCTGTGCTGGAGCTTTGCCACCCTGGAGCAGCCGAGCAGGTGCCCAAGCGGACTCACTCACAAAACAAGATAAGCAGGATTTGTATCAGGCTGCGACTTTGATCACAAAATGTTTCCAGCTCCAAACCACCACCCAAGCCAGGGGCTGGGAATACCAGCTCTCCTGTCTGTGATAAGAAGAAACAATCAGATTGTGGTTTTTGTAAGCCAGTGGTTTCATTTCTTTAACCATTTCCATGAATGAAAGGAAGCAAGAACAATATGGATAATACACAGCATCACAAAGTATAATTTAATAAAACCAAGTTAAAGAATGTAGAATTATGCAACATACCTATAATCCAGGAATGCACAGTAAAGATGAACTCTGTTGCTTTTATTTAGTGCTTGGCTGTATTGTCTGGGCGTCTGCAAGAGAAAAACAGAAACCCTGAAGGAACATTTAAAAAGGGCTAAATTCCACTATTAATCTACTTCACATTCTCATTGCTACAATGATTTCAAGAGACTGATTAGAGATTAACACACCAGAACTGGCAGCGAAATTGTTCAGTCCTCACATCTCCAACACAGGCTCCAAACATGCAAAGATAATATTCAGCCTTAATTTTACACTCTGGGATTAAACTTTCACTGCTCTGAATGAGAAATCTGTACCTCCTTTAAGCAAATAGCAAAATGGATCACAATTGTACATAAGCACAAACACTTGTGTTCATTTCTGCAGGACTGGGACATCATTCCTCAGCTATACTTGGCTTCTTTGGGTTTTGTTCATCGTTTGTTCTCACTGTGCAATAAAAATGTCACATTTTACGATTAATAACTCTGAAATATGTGCACTACAATGACCAACTCCCAGACATTTTCTTTCCACAACAGCAATTATTTTAAAACATACATTCAAACTGAAAGAGCCATGCTGTAATTCAAGATTTTATTTTAGCACACCTAAGCATTATAATGACATAATTTCTATCTTCCATAAACAGGTTTAGCAACTAACTCAATCTCCTGTATTCCAGAAGCTTTGAGATCCCATTCTCCACTCCGTTACATGAGCTTGATGACAAAATTATTCAAATTATATCGGAGTGAAGTAATAGTTTGTTACAGACAAAATATGCAAACTAGAGGATTTCCAGTGTTTGTTCAACCCTTTCTAATACATAAATCCCTAAATTCCACATTATGTGGGCCCTGCCTTATGGCAATTTTTTAATTACAAGAGTCTTCAACATAAAAAAAATCACTGGTGAATTAACAGCTCTCAGATTATTGCAACACAGTTCTGCTGTCAAGACCAAAGATAATCAAGTTCTGCTCTCCTTGTTTTAGGGAATGAAGAAAAAAACCCCCACCACTCATCCTGCTGAAACTCAACCAAGTACAAGAAGTTCCTGATGCAATTCTCCTTCTCCTCTCCCAGGAGTGTCAGGCACAAGGTAGCACAGCTCCCTCCTGCCTGGAGATAACTGCGAATTTCTGCCCAGCCAGGGCTTGCGGGGCTCCTCCTGAGAGCCACACGCCTGCCAGCTGTGCTCAGATAAGGGCATTCATTCCCTGCTCAGCAGAAACAGGATTTTCTCATCTCCCTGAGCTCATCCCTGGCCCCAATTTGCAGCTCCTGCCTCACCTTTTCCCCAGCCTTTGTCCCAGGATGGGGCTGCAGGTCAGGTGCTTTGTGAGGGAGGACTGTCACATCAGGACTGTCCCTCCAGCACTGTCACTGTCACCCCAGTGCTGTCACTGCCACACCAGGACTGTTGTTATCATATTTCTAGAGTCCCATACCTCCTCAGTGTTTTCTTATGGCTGCAGATCTTCACAGCACAGACTCCTTCTTCTGCACGTTGTTCCTTCCCAGCCAGGGCTCCTTCCAGGCTCTGCCCGCCTGGCCAACCCACCCCTTTTATCCCCGTTATCCTCACTAGCGGGCTCCTTCCAGGCTCTGCCCGCCTGGCCAACCCACCCCTTTTATCCCCGTTATCCTCACTAGCCACAGCTGCAGCCCAATGAAGGACATCGCAGCTGCAGCCCATCAAGAACAACTGGGACCTGCCAGGGCAAGGCCTATATAGATATTCAAGTACAGTACAGATATTCTACTATGACTCAAAGGCCACCTGTACTATACAGGACTGTCACCCCAGCACTGTCACCGAGCACCAGCTGTGCCCAGTGATGTGACATCCACCATCTCTCCTGAAGTGAACAACTGAGAGAACCTACAGCTGCCTTGTATAACAATTTATTTCACTTCTGTGACAGACAGCGGCTAAAAAACCACAGAAAGGGAGAGAGAGAAAGATCTGCTGTAATGACAGCAAAGATGGAGCAATAACTGCCATTTCTGATTTGTAAGATTCCTCTGGATAAATCTGGATTCTAATACTCTAAATGGAAGGGGCACCTCAGGGTCAGGTTGGAAGGAAACATGGTACTGCAGTCGTGCATGTTTTACACAAATAAATCCCAGATGTATGCTTTACCCTCAATTACATCTCTCTGGCAAGAAACAAGTCCTTGTTTTTCTCCATCCTAACTCTAAACACAGATGTCACTCATTAGACAATGAACCACACCAAGTGAGGCTCTGACCTGTCCTGAGCTGTGTGTGCACTCAGATGGACAAAGAATAAGTAAATAATAATAATGAGAAATAGATAAACAGATTAAAGAATGGCAAAGAACGGTCTATCCTAATTTGCCTTCTTGTTTCTCTTAAAGAATCTGTCCTGTGTTTTATCACCCATTATATAATCTCCAAAAGGCTTTCAGTGCCATTTATGATAACTGCATAAAAAACCACTCATCTTCTGAGGCTTCACTGAAGTTCTGCAGCAGAACTGTCATTAGGATGGAGAGCCCCCAACACGTAAGAAACTGGCTGCAGAGGAATAAACTCCCTCTGATCTTCAACAGCTCTACTTCAAAGTACTCTCTAATCTATGAAAAAGGAACTGACTGTACCTCAATATTGCCCTTTTAAAGTTAAACTGTGTGTGACAGCTTGTATGTGGCTTGGATCCTGTGGAACTGAGGATATTGATTTAATGACATTGATAACAGAAAGCTTAAAATACAAGTAGGCCTTTACACTAAAAGATTAAGTCACTTGAGTGTTTATTAAAAGCCTGTGAAAGGACAGTTTATGAAGCTTTCAGGGGAGGGAAAGCCTGCACACTGAGTAATCCAGGATCTGTGCACGTGCTCTCTGTAATCCAAATTATTCAAATCACTCCTTCTGCACGGAGGGGGCCACATGCAGCTTCTCATGCAAAAAGAATTGCACTGAGAGAGGAAAAATTACACTGAAAGAGGCACCAAAGCAGGGGCAGAGTCAGTGCCTGTCTGCTCAGCCTGTGCCCTGAGGAGGGACTGCTGGGACCCAACTTAGGAGGGCCTGAATAACTCTGTGTTGTCTGTCTGTCTGTCTGTGCTCACACCCAAGGCTCTGAGAGTCCTTTCTAGCCTGAATAACTCTGTGTGTGTGCACACCTGAGGGTCTTTTCCAACCTGAATAATTCTGTGTGTCTGTCTGTGTGCATACCTGAGGGTCTGAGGGTTTTTTCTAGCCTGAATAACTCTGTGTTGTCTGTCTGTCTGTCTGTGCTCATACCCGATGGTCCTTTCCATCCTGAACAATTCTGTGCATGTCTGTCTGTCTGTGCTCACACCCGGGGCTCTGAGAGTCCTTTCCAGCCTGAATAGCTCTGCATTGTCAGTCTGTCTGTCTGTCTGTCTGTGCTCACACCTGAGGCTCTGAGAGTCCTTTCCAGCCTGAATAACTGTGCGTTGTCAGTCTGTCTGTCTGTCTGTCTGTGCTCACACCCGAGGCTCTGAGAGTCCTTTCCAGCCTGAATAACTGTGCGTTGTCAGTCTGTCTGTCTGTCCGTCTGTCTGACCCCACGGCTGTGAGCCCCTGCCCCAGTGAGCCCAGGGCTGCTCACAGGGATGTGAGGGGACCCCAGCCCTCGTGGGAGCCAGGCACAGGCCATGCTGGGAGGAAGAGGAGGCCAGGAAAGGGGGCTGAGAGGGCTGCTGGAACCTTCAGGAACAGCCGCTGCAGGAAATGTCAGAACACAAGTGCAGAGGAAAACAGGCAGCAGCTGCCTGGGGAAGGCTTGCCAAGGAGGAGCAGCCACAGAGGGTGGGGTGAACCTTGGTGAGATTTGCTGGTCTCTCCTCTCCCCCCTGCATTCAAAACGCAGACATTTGGGCAAGCAGAGGTGCCACCAGGAGCGGAGGGCGAGCGCCTTCCTTCCCCAGGGGGAAAGGAGGAACCTCTGGGGCAGGGCTGCGCTGACCTGAGCTCAGCAGCTCCCAGCCCGGGGAGCTGGGCTTCCTCTCGCTGGGCTTCCTCTCATCCAAACAGCTGACCATTTACCCCACTAAGCTCCATTTGTCTCTGTTTCCTCACTTATGTGCGTACGGTTCAAAACAAATTTTGATTCTGTTCTATGGATTAAATTAGAGACTAAAATGATGCATCTAATGTAAGGATTTTCCGTCCTCACAGTGACATCCTGACTGTTAGCGTGACCTATTCAGGCTCACACGGTTTATTGACTTCCCTTTCCACCTATTTCTCCTAATTAGCCAGAAGATTAAAGCTTTAGGGCACATTCATCTGCTCAGTTACCTGGAAAAAGACAGACAGAAAGAATAATCACCTCTGTCTATGGTGGCTGTATTGGCTGTTTTCTTCCAAGCTCTGCGAAATCTGCATTGCAACAGATCTGGGGCTCAGATCAGCCAACTATTTTAATTTAGAGTCCATTTGACTGATTCACCCTAAGATGTAACTAGCATATGTAATGAAAAAAAATGGCAAATTGCACAAAAAGGAATTTCGGTTATGAATAGGGAATTAGAGTGTGTTATGGATAAAAGCCAGACTTTCAGATGTTTCACTGTTGTGAACAGAGCTGTGCCAGCACACACTTTCTGAAGCAATGAGCACAACACTTTCCAACAGGAAAGTTTGCTGAATGTATTTCCTAATGGGACAATCACACAGTTAAAAAAACTGCATGAAATCACCAAGGGTGGGAGGCTGTGACAGACTGCAATATAAAAGTAAAAATGAGTGAAATATCAGAGGTTATAAAGTCATCTGAAATTGGAGAAGGTTGCCACATGGATTGGATTTGATTATTCCTTTGCCTGAGGCTAAAAATAGTTGACATATCAATTTCCTGCAAAAATAGTGTTAATCAAATATTTCACCAATATCCTTCCCCAGTTCTCAGAGTTGTCTATTTAACAGCTGCTGTACTGGGCAAGCAGTGTGAGAACAGAAAAGTAATGAAAAGACCCATGAGCACCAGACTGAAAAATATCTTGGCTGCTCTACCAGATATCATTTCTATAAGAGAGAGGAAAGAGGAGGAGGGAATGGACGA